GCTTCAGGAAGAACTTTCAAAAAGTAAAAAACAAGTTTTGAATTTAACTTTTTCATCATTCTTTTTTGTTTTTAATACAATTTTTTTCTAAAAAAAAAATAAAAAATAATTGATTTATATCACTTATAATATTAATAAAAACTTGTTTCATTCAAATAAAAAAATCACTCAAACTTTAATTGCTTAATAATAACCTTCTTATTAATGTTGTATTTATGTTGTTAAATATACCAAGATATTTATCATTTTATTTAATATTTAATACGTTCAATTTAAATAAAACCAAATAAATGAATAAAATAGTGTTTATCTTTATTATTTTCATTCAGTAACTCATAGAATAAGTTGAAAGAATAAAAATAATAATAAAAGCGTTATTAATAACAAATATTAATTAATAAAAATGTTTAGTCAAAAAAAGAAGAAAAGTGAAAAACTATAATTTTTAGAGAACATTTTTGAAAGATGGAAGAAGTGAATCAAACGAGTAGAATGATAATTGAAAAGATGACATTCTATAATTTTAAGTCATATTATGATAAAGTTGAACTTGGTCCATTTCATGAATCATTTACAGCAATTGTTGGTGCCAATGGGTGTGGAAAGTCAAATGTAATTGATGGATTATTATTTGTATTTGGAAGAAGGGCAAAACAAATACGTCAACAAAAAGTAGCAGATCTTATTCATAAGTCTGCTCTTCATCCAAATTGTACTGAAGCAAGGGTTGATGTTCATCTTGTTAATGTTGATACAGAAGGATCTTATTTACCTAATACACGATTTACTGTTACTCGAACAGTCTTTAGAGATGGAACTTCAAAATTTATGATTGATGAAGTGGTATGTAAATTTGATGCGATTCTTGAGAAGATGAGGTCTAAAGGGTTTGATTTATTAAATAACAGATTCCTTATTTTACAAGGTGAAGTAGAAAGAATCGCTTTAATGCCAACAAAGTCTAAAAATGGAGAAGATGGAATGCTTGAATTTCTTGAAGATATTATTGGTACATCTCAATACATCGAAGGGATTGAAAAAGGAACATCAGAACTTGAAAAATTAAATGATGAAGTACATGAAAAGACAAATAGATTTAAAATTATTGAACGAGAACGAAATGGGATATTGAAAGAAAAAGAGAACGCTATTTCATATTTAAAAGAAGAATATAAAATGTGTGGATTAAAGAATAATTTGAATAAACTAGAATTAAAAGCAGTTGAAGAGAAAGAAGTTGAGAGTAAAGAAGAGCGAGAAAAATTAGAACAAAAACGAAAAATTATTCAAGACGCAAAAAATGAAAAGTTGAAAGAAAAGACAACTAAAGATAAGATTATTGAAGAAAAAGGAAGAGATATAAAAAAAATTGAAAAAGAATATGAAAAGCAAAAGGGTTTGATCAACAGTGCTAAGAAGAAGAAAGCAAGAGCTGAAGAAGAAAAGAAGCAAAATGAAAAAGCGGTTCTTCGAAATGAAAAAGAAATTAAAGAAATGGAAAAGAAGATCAAAGATGAAAAAGAAAAAATTGAAAGTAAACAACGAAGGTACGACCAATTATCAAAAACAATGGAAAAAGATAAAGAGGAAATTGAAAAATTAAAAAGTGACCTTGAAAAACAAACTAGTGAGGTAAAAGAAAAGACTTTACCTGTTAAGAAAGAAATTGAAAACCTTATGGAAAAATTAAAAGAGCCAGAAGAACGAATTGAAGAATTAAGGAATGAAAATAGTAGAAAGGAAGCAGAGATTGAAGGAAAAAAAGAAGGATTAGAAACAATAAAAAATGAATTAAAAAATATTTCACAAATACTTAATGAAAATGAAAGAACTATAGAAGAAAAAGTAAGAGAAATAGAAAGAGAGGAGCATTTAAAAAAAGTTATGGAAGAAGAAGAAAGAGAAAATGAAGAACGTAGGAAGGGTTTAGAGCAAGAAATGAGAAATTTAAAAGAAGATATTGGAGAAAAAAGAGACCTTATTCAACAATTACAACAAGTTTGTGAAGTTGCAGAAAATAAAAAAGAAATTGCTAAAATAATTAAAGTTATTCAAGAAGAACAAATTGAAGGATTAAAAGGAAGACTTGGAGATTTAGGAAGTATTGAAAAGAAATATGATATTGCAATAACTACATCTTGTGGAATGTTAGATTACATTGTTGTTGAAAGTATAGAGGGTGCTCAAAAGATAAGTGAAATATGTAAAGAAAGACAACTTGGAAGAGTTAGTTTAATTATTTTAGAGAAGATGAAAGTAAAACCAAATTGGAGAAATTGGAAAAAAATACCAAAAAGTGAAAGAATAGTTGATTTGATTGATTGTGAGGAATGGGCAAGGGAAGTATTCTATTTTGCATTAAGAGATACTTTGGTTTGTGAAAATTTAACAATAGCACGAGAAGTAGCATTTGGAGAAACACGACAACGGGTTGTTACGTTAAATGGAGAATTACTTGACAATGTTGGTAGTATTACAGGAGGAGGGAATGTTGTATTAAAAGGAGGAATGAATAAGGTTGCTCTATCAAAAGAAGAGCAAAAGGAACTTCAAAAGTTGAAAGAGGAACTTGAAGAAAAAGAATGTCAATTTGAAGAAATAAGAAAAGAAGTTGAAACACAGAGGAAGAAAATAGAAGAGAATGCACAAAAGATTAAAGAAAGTACAATAAAACAAGAACAATTAAATGACTTAAAGAAAAAAAATAAAGAATTGAAAAAAAGAATTGAAAAAGGAAGTCTCGATGTTGAAGCTAGAGAAAGAGAAGTTACACGAATTTGCAAAGAATTTGAAATAAAAAAACAAACAAGTGAAGAAGAGATTCAAAAGATAGAAGAACAAAACAAAGTGTTATTTGAACAATTGGAACAAAAACAAAAAGAGTTAGAAAAGTTAGAAGGACTTGATATGAAAATTATTAAAGTAAATTTACAAGATATAAATGAAAGAAATCAAAGAAATACAAAAGAATATAATAGAATAGAATTAGAAATTAGTGGAAGTACAAGTAAAATTGATGAATGGAATAGTTATCTCAAAGAAATGAATATTCATTTGGAAGAATTGAAAAATAGGATGGAAAAAGATGAAATAAAAATTGACGAAACTCAAATGAAACTTACAAAGAAAGAACTAAATGAAAAAAATGATGAGTTAAAAAAAATCGAAGAAGAATATGAAATTCTTCTTAAAAGTATTGAAGAACTAGAAACTGAAGAAGAAAAAATTGGAGAACAAATCGAAGAAATTAATGGAAATAACTCCGAATTAACTGAAAAGAGACAACGTTGTGAAAAAGAAATTCGTTCTATTTTTAAACATATTCGAGAATTATTACATATTGCGGAAATTCATGAAGAGGATGAATATATTGAAAATGTGTTAAATCATAATGAAACAGATAATCAAATGGATGAAGAAAAAATTCGAATTATTGGTATTTCACTTAAAGATGTTGTAGATGAATTGAAAGAAATTAATCGAAAAGAAGTATTAGCTATGATAGAAGATGAAAAGAAAAAAATTGAAAATATGATAGAAAATGTTAATTTGAAAATCATTGCAACTTTCATCAAAGTTAACAAAGAGTATCAAGAAAAATGGGATGTCATGAATGAGGCTATGAAAAAACAAGAGGATTGTAAAACAACATTAGAAACATTGAAGAAAAAACGTTTTGATGAATTTATGAATGGACTAACAGAGATATCTTTCAAGTTGAAAGAAATGTATTATTTACTGACACAAGGAGGTGTTGCTGAACTTGAACTCGTTGATACCTTAAACCCATTCACTGAAGGTGTTGTGTTTAGCGTTAGACCACCAAAAAAAGCCTGGAAAAATATTGCTAATTTATCAGGAGGAGAAAAGACATTGAGTTCATTAGCACTTATATTTGCTTTACATCATTACAAACCAACACCAATTTATGTTATGGATGAAATAGATGCTGCGTTAGATTTTAGAAATGTTAGTATTATAGCTCATTATATCAAAGAACGTACAAAAAATGCACAATTCACTATTATCTCACTACGTCCAGAGATGTTTGAATTAGCAGATAGATTGATGGGAGTATATAAAGTAAAAGATGTATCATGTTCTGTTTCATTTAACCCAAATGCTTATAACTTGAACAATAATTGATTTTTTTAATGAAAATTCTCCAAGAAAAGTAACGTGAAATTTCATTACACTTTTTGAAATGAATAAATCTAGTGTTAACAAAATATCCATTCTAACAAAGATGAAAACGTTATTTCTTGATGCACTGAAAGGAAAAGACAAGGATAGTATTAAAACCTATTGCTCAGAAATTTTTCAAAATGGTAATATACAAGAAATGAAAGGTGTTGTTCAAGCCATTATTACTTTAATTGGTTCTAAATATAACAGACAACATTTCACTATCCATGACCTTTCTTTGTTAATAGACATATCCAGCCTTTCCTTAGAAAACACTCAAGAGATATTATTTCAGTTAGTCATTACTCCAACAGATCGTGAAATCTTTATTCCTCTTGAAATTTATTGTAAATTAATTGATTTATCCATAAACACAAAAAAAGAACATATGTTGACTCAATTATTACAATATCATTTAATTCCAGATAATAAAGCAATTGCTATGAAACTCATTTCGTACAAGCATCAGTCTAGTTCATTGTTTTATGCTGGGATAGACATATTAAAACGAACAAATAAGTATGAAGAGTTGATTGATATCTACTTATCTCAAGGTGACATTTTTATGGCACTTAGATTGGCAGATTTATCTCGAAGGAGTATTTCGACTCAAACAATCAAAAATTGTTTGTTAAAATTAAATAACTCTGTGATAACAGCTCAATTTGAGTGTGAGTATCAACAACTAATTTAATTTATTATATTCAACGGGACTTTATTTAATTTTA